ATAATTAGAGATAGAAAATAAATTTTAAGATATTCCTAAGTAATTTTTTACTCCAAAATTACATGTTGTGATAAAATTTGGAGTTATGCCTTGTAATCTTATAGAAACCACACCCATAATAATATATTAGCAAAACCAAGCATTGATAGGAAATTGGTTTTATTTCAAAAAGTAGAAGGAAAAGATCGGAAAAAATAAAAAATAAGATAAGTTATAGAATAATGAATATTTGGAGCTTGGCTCAAAAAATGGAGTGAAAAAATAAAATTAAAAAAGATGATACAATATAGCATGATTCAAGGTCTTATACGATGCAGAGATGCAGAGATCGATCCCATACCTTTCAAGAACTAAGACCCTTCCAATATATATATATATGTAACATTATTTCGATAAACTATATTTGGCATTTATATGATATCAGATTTTGCATTCTCTTCATCCCAACAACCAATGTCAAAAAGAAAAACTTTTAAATTTGCACTTTAGAAAATGTCAAAATGAGTCATTCTCCAATAATTAATCAAGATCTTCCACTTGGCGGACATTTTAAGATCTGAAAATCAAAATTTTCTTTTCTAAAATTTTCTTATCTATAGTCTCTAAGACCATCTACAAAATTTTGAATAATAAAAAAAAAATCATTTTAAAGCTTACATATAATCATCTGGATGGCATACGTTCATTGGCTTAAAATAATAGTAATAATAATAATTTTCGGGGGTGCATTTTCAAATTTTATTATTTTGAGATTGTTTAACATATTGAAAGGAGTGTATGTTTAAAAAACTAGGATCCACAACTAATCGTAACATCGTTTTTTATTGTGTTTCCCCGATTTACGTATATTTAGGACCCCAAATTTATGGGATGTAACCACTATTCATTAACAACTAAAAATAAGAAAGAATGTGCCATATGGGTTGTCATATGGACCGGTTTGTCATATGGGCAATACGGGTCACTAATCTATTTTTTAAAAAATACCTTCGTTCAAAATGAAGCTGGTATGGCACATTCTATCCCCAAACTGACATAATTTCAAGGAAAATGTTTATATAATGTTGAGGCTCTAAACAATCAAATTAAATCGCACTTTAAAAATTGACTATAAGAGGTTGTTTCAATGCTGAAAAACCCTCAAATCCTATCATCTCAACCTTGAAATGCATGGATATATAAAAAAAATGGACTTCAAGTCTTAGAAATAGTGCATCTTGTCATGTATTATTTAGAACATAAATTTTCAAGATTTTCAAGTGTTCGATATATCTCTTGGTTTTTTATATGGTAAAGTTTATATCAGGGTGAGGCCCTAAACAAACAAGTTAAGGCGCACCTAAATTTTACCAGAAGATATTATTTCAACATGAAAAATCTCAAATTTGATCATCTAGACCTCAAGATGTATGGAAATACGAAAAAATAGATTTCAAGTTTTAGAAATAGTGCATATTGTAATATATTATCTAGACCGTCAATTTTCAAGATTTACAAGTACTCATAGATCTTTTAAATCTACACTATTTTTTAAGCTTTAAATTTCATAATTAGAGGGAAAAATAAATTTTTAGGCTACTATAAACATTGATCATACTAAAACAAAAATATTCCAGCACTATTTAAAGGTGTGCCTTAATTTTATTGCTTTGGACCTTAGCCTTATGCAAACCACTCCGTCTTTAGATATAATTAATATTTATAGGAAGTTTTCTATTTAGTACAGATTCCTAGCATTATATATATGGGATGAAAGAGGAAAAAATATGTATACCCTATTTGCATGAGAAGTTAGGCCTCCCTTCAGAGGCATGAGAGGCAAGTCCTCCCTTTTGAGAGAAGAGAGCCCTTTATGAAGAGAAAAAGTGAGACACTACGATGTGCCTCCTATAAAGTGAAAGGCTGGTTTCTTGTTGAGTTACGGTTCCCATAGAGATTTGGGTGGTTTCCCCTTGGTCTCAAAGTTCTCTTCATAAGGTTCTCTTCCTAGATAGCAGTTTACCAATGGAATAGAGAACAGTTTCTTCTCGGACAATGGTTTAGTTGTGGAACAAATATGAATTTCTTCTCCGACAATGGTTTAGCTGTGGAATACATATGAGTGATCGACGAGTGGTGCCGGAGCTGTGTAATACATATGAGAGTTTGGCGGGTGGTGCCGATAGGGAGTGTGGTTTTAAAAGAGTTTGCTTGAGTAGATTTTGTCGAGGGTTAAAGAGGTAACTTCCATTGATATAGTGGATTTCAGTTTGTCATGTATAGTGGATTCCAGTTTTCCATCCATGCCCGAGGATGTAGCCATCTTGGGGTGAACCACATAAATCGTTGTGTTCTTGTGGCATGTATGTTTCATACTTTATTTATCGACTCATGCTCTTGCCTATTTTGTTTCTAGCTAGATAAGTACATGTTCCTGGTGGGATCCAATGCTTTAGAATTCGTGTTTCTGCATCTAAGAGTGTTATTAGATGGTAACAAGTGGTATCAAAGTACATAGTTGAGTACAAGGTTAGTGTTTGTGCATTCGATTGAAGAAAGCACATGGCAAATATGTGAGTGTTTCATTTGAGGTGGAGAATTATGATCGCAAGCACAATCGTTCCAGCAAGAATGGCAAAGCAATTTATTTGATAAAAGATGTAGAATTCATAAAGTTATCCAATGTATGTTCACATGATGAGCAGATATCTAAAATCACTAATATAAGAAAATCAACTATTATGTAGGATTGGGATGGATATTCATAAATTTCCAAAAAAAAATGGAAATGCAAAAAGATTACTCTTTGGTATATCTCTTATTTTTTTAGATATATGTAACATTTATGGGAAGTTTCCTATTTAGTATGGATTCCTAACATTATATGTATAGATTGTATATAATGGGACCATTCCACTTTGTTACAAGGAGTTCACAATTCCTACTAGTCAAATGGATGGCTTGGGGTGTGTCAGAAAGTTCGAGAAATTGGCAACGTCTCCCTTCAAAGAGAAGAGACAAAGTGCCTCCTATAGAGTGAGAAACTAGTTTTTTATTCCCATGGAGATTTGAAGAGAACAAGTGCCTCCTATAGAGTGAGAAACTAGTTTTTTATTCCCATGGAGATTTTTCTTCCTGTAGAGTGAGAAACTAGTTTCTTGTAGAGAAGAAGTTCTTATGGAGATTTTGGGTGGTTTTCCGTTTTAGTTAGAAAAAGACTCGATAGCTCTGAAGGTTCTCTTTCTAGACAGTGATTTCAGTAGTTTAACGGTGAAATAGAGATGAAAGATCAGCAGGTGGTGCCGGTCGAGAAAGTGGGTTTAAAAGGGTTGCTGGTTTTAGTGAGTGTTAAATACACAACTTTCATTAATAAAGACTGAACTTCAATTTTTCATACCAGTGGATGTAGTCCTCCTGGGTGAATCATATAAATTGTAGATGTAACCCTCGTAGGGTGAACCACGTAATTGTTTTGTTATTGTGGCGTGTGTATTTTATATGTTATTTTTCGTATCATAGCTCATATTATCGCCTATTTTAGTACAAGTTCCTGGTGGGATCCAACGCTTCGGGATTCCTGTTTCCGCAAAACCTATTTAAGTGAAGCTAGCTCACCTAAATAAATATTTTGAAAGGGAAATCTCGTTCTTTTATAATTTGTAGACTTGCTGGTTAGAAACTTCAGACAATTGCTTCTTCTGAGTTAAAATATAAAATATACGACCATTTCCACCCTTGGAAGAGTAAAAAAATGTCCCTTCTTCCCATCTCTCGTATCGCTTGCAGTAGAAAATCTCTCTCTCTCTCTACACATTTGCTCTCTCTCTCTTGGATTATCTGCCTTGATTATCTTATAATACACACAGTTGAATCTTTCTTCGTTGATTAATATACAGCGGTTTTATTACATCCGAATGGCAAATCGACGTGCTTCAAGAAAAAATCACACTTGCCATTTATACTTGTCATTTAATTGATCTAAGAGAAGGCAACTAGTCAAATAACCCATTCGAAGTGCCTCTGCTTACTTCAATATGGCACCCCTTCTCACCCTCAATATCTTTCACTTCAATATGGCGCCTCTTTTCACCCTCTTCTTCTTTCTCTGCCTTCCTCTGCTTTCGCTTCATCATGCATTTGCTCAATCAAACACAAACATCACCCTAGGGGCCACCCTTTCCTCTTCCTCTGCAACTAACTCATATTGGGCCTCTCCTTCTGGTGATTTTGCATTTGGGCTTTATTCAATTGGTGGCAACCAATTCCTTGTTGGAATTTGGTTCCAAAAGATACCAGAGAGAACCCTGGTTTGGTCAGCAAACAGAGATCAACCTGTGGAATCTGGCTCCACCCTTCAATTGACTCTTGATGGTAGGCTAGGCTTCACAGATACAAAGGGCCTGCAAACTTGGATATATAATAAAAGCAATCGTGTAAGCTCAGGAGTCATGCTTGATACTGGTAATTTCATATTGGTAAGCCCTGTATCCTTTATTTTATGGCAAAGTTTGGACAACCCCACTGATACTTTATTACCAGACCAAACCTTGGGCCAAGAAAATACTTGTATTCGAATCGCTTGGAGGGAGATTATAGAACTGGTAGATTCAGGTTAGTCATGCAAAACGATGGCAATCTTGTGCTCTACACGAATAGTGGTAGAGCATATTATTCGAGCAGGACAAATGGAGCACCATCGCCTGTTCGTTTGGTGTTCAGTCACTCAGGTATTCTTGTTCTCACAAACTCAAACGATCAGTTAATCGCCAATGTTTCTTCAAATGCATTAAACTCAACTGAGGATTTCTATCAAAGGGCCATAGTTGATAGTGATGGTTTTTTCCGGCGATATTCTCGCCCAAGAAATTCGAACAACAGAGAATCATGGACCATGGTATCAAGGATTCCTGATGACATAGATGCTTGTGGAGTGCCAGGTGCTTGTGGCATCAATGGTTATTGTCTTTTGGAGCAAGATAAGGCAGGGTGTCTTTGCCCACAAAATTTTACTTTCATTAATCCTAATTACTCTTTTGATGGGTGTAAACAGGATTTCAATACAGTGTGTATCGGTTACGTAGCATCTGATTATACATGGGTTGAGTATGAGAATGTTGATTGGCCTACAGGGGATTACGAAGGACTCAATGTCGATGAAGATAAATGTAAGGAGGATTGCATGAATGATTGTTTGTGTGATCTGGCCATTATTAGATACAATGATTGTTGGAAGAAGAGTATGCCAGTCACTGAAGGCCAAAAGAAAAGCAGCATACCAGGAAAGGCTCTTGTCAAAGTTCCACTGAAGATTCGGCCACTGGAGAGAACAGAGACAATGGAAAGAATACAGAAAGATGATAGAGGCAAAATCATGGTCCTAGTAAGTTGGTTTCTCATAAGCTTCTCTGCAATTCTTTTCATACTAACCATGGCTGCTATTGCTTTTGCTTTCAAGAAAGGAAGAAGGTCCCGCCGCATCTCAAATAATGTAGAGGCCATAGAGGCGAACCTTGTATCTTTCAGATATGCAAAATTACAAGACGCCGCAAATGGGTTCAAGGAACTTCTGGGGAAAGGTCCAAATCGCTGTAAAGAAATTGGACAAGTTTGCAGAGAGGGGAGAAGGAGCTCCAAACTGAATTAAGTGTGATCGGCCGAACCAATCATAAGAACTTAGTTCGGTTACTAGGTTTTTGCAATGAGGGTGATCAAAGGCTTCTTGTCTATGAGTTCATGCCGAATGAGTCTCTTGCAAACTTTCTGTTTGGCCCAACCAAACCAAGTTGGGGCGAAAGAATCCAATTAGCATTCGGAATAGCAAGAGGGATCACGTATCTTCATGACGAGTGTGAAATCCCAATCATACATTGTGATATAAAGCCTCAAAATATACTTCTTGATGAGTTTCGCACCCCAAAGATTGCAGATTTTGGTCTGGCAAAGATCTTACAACACAATCAGACCCTTACAACCACCGGCATTAGGGGTACAAGGGGGTATGTTGCTCCGGAGTGGTTTCGAAATGTTTCAATCTCTACACAAGTGGATGTGTATAGTTTTGGGGTCGTGTTGCTCGACATCATTTGCTGCAAGAAGAAGAGGGATTATGATCATAACTTGGAGATGCAATTTGTGTTATCGGAATGGGTATATGATTGTTTCGATGAGGGGAAGGTGCACGAGGTAGTAGAGGAAGATGAAGAAGCCTTGGGTGATTTAGAGCAAGTTGAAAGGATGGTTAAGGTGGGTTTGTGGTGTATCCAAGAAGACCCATCCATGAGACCTCCCATGAAGAAGGTGGTTCAGATGCTAGAAAGGAACACACAAGTTATGACACCCCCCAGTTCCTCTACCTCATGGTTTTGAGCAAGTCTACAGGTCAATGGTTTTTGTTGAAATGTCACCCTCATTTTCCTCTTTTCCTACTATTCATCTATGTTTAAGCTTCTCTCCTTGCGTTGTATAGCTATGGAGCATCCTGCATTCTCTAGATATGCATTTTAAGTCACAATCAAAGTTTTGTTTTGGTACTCCTTTGTTGTACATGGGTAAGAATCCATTTTTGGTAGTCTTTTGTTGTATAGATTGGTGCAATGCCTAGGCCAACAACTAATATTTTCCAATTCTTCGATTTTGTGAGGGATGCATTCATTATCTTTTTCAATCACTATTTGAATGATAGATGTCAAAGTACCATAGCGTACAATTTCTTTTAATATTTTGAAAATACATGTTCCGAAGCTAGATTTCATGGCATTCAAGATTCCTTGCAGTCGATACGAATTGACCACTGTAAATTACGTTTGGCCTGCTCCTTATAACCCCTGTGTATCACGTTTTGATCTAGAGATTACCAATATGATCAAATAATTATGTTTTACGAATGGGTCAAGGCTAGAAGGTCGAGGTAGCAGGGTGCCACAAAATCATGTCTTTGAGTTTTATTATTATCATTATCATGGGTTGGGGAACCATTTTCAAAAAAAACTGTCGTGCCCGCCCAAACAATGTAACCATGGGGAAATAGTGAACCACATATCATTGAGCCAGGTTGACCATGCACATTCCTATGGATAACCATTTGGCATCTTAGGACCATGACTATGTCATTAAAACAAAATTGTGGGCTCCAGACAATTTTTCTTCTGTTTCTATTCGGGGTTTTTGTCATGTACGCATCTATGGCCAGTCACCTAATAAATCTAGTAAAACAATATCGTGCCACTGCCCATATTAGTAGTGACATATCACATACCGAATAAAGTTAATTTGGGTATTTTAATTTTTAAATTTTTTTTTTTAATGAAGAGGTATGAATTTGAAAAAAAAAAAAAACTGAGCCCTTACTGCAAGGGGTTTCATACCCTTCAATGATATTTTCCAAAAACGCAAGGCATTTTTTTATTATGGAATAATAATAGGAACTTTTGTAATTTGACCCTTGAGAGGTTTCAATAGAATGATGAAAATGCCCCTACTTGTTCGCACTATAAACGAAGAACAAATTTAATATTAGAAATATTGAACAACCATAGGTATTTATATCATTTTACAAGTATTCAGGGAAAGTAGCTAAAACGAGAGAAAGAGAAAGACATCTTTTCCAAGGTTTAGATATTAGGGTGATTAAAAAATAAGATAAATATTATAATTTTAACAACGAACTAGGTAAGGAGGGGATTAAAAGTTATTTTTTTTCTTGACTTTGGGGGGCTCCTTGAGCCTTTTATAGAACTTGGAGTTTATTTGAGATATTGATTTTTGAGAGGGGGATATATATCTCTCTTTCTAGTTTAAATGACGTTGACTTGAGGCTGCACTATGAATATAAGTGTATATCCAATAATTTGGCGCTACCATTGAAACTTGGTTATGAGGAAATTCATGGAAGAAAAGTCAGAACATAAGTTACAATTCGCACGACGACGAGGGTCATAAGGATCGTTGGGTCGAATCTGGTACTCGGCTCGGGCCTTGTACTTTGGCCATAGCCCGAGCGAACTGACTCAAAGCGAATCTGGTAGAGCAGATTTGTCCCAGTAGTGTACCTTGCTAAGAGGAAAAAGTTTATGGCTTTAAACAATAAAATTAGTGCCCACCTCAAAAATTTTACTAGAAGAGGCTGCTTTGATATCCTCAAATAGATCATCTCGACATCGAGATGCATGAATGAATATGAGAAAAAAAAATGGATTTTAAGTTTTGGAAATAATGCATCATCTTGTAATGTATTTTTGGACCGTCAATTTTCAAGTTTTTCAATTTTCAATAGATCTGCTCGATCTACACTATTTTTCAACCTTTAAATTTTATAATTAAAGATGAACATATATTTTATGACTATCACAAAGATTTCTAATCTTGAAACCACATTTCTCGATACTATTTGAAAGTAAGCTTTATTTTGATTGTTTAGAGCCTTGGCTCTATACAAACTCCACCCTTCCTAAAAATGATATAACTTTGTAAAAAAAACCAAAACAATTGTTAAGAAGAAAAAGGAACCAATTAAAGCCAAATTAAACCATATATTCATTCACTAAAAGTTTAAAAACGATGAGAAAAACGATATAGCAAACAAAATTTGGAGAGAAAAAAAAAAACAGCAAATAATAAAAAGGAAAGGTTTCTATACTTTCCCGATAGTATAGAAGATCTATGCTTCCCCTACCATCCGTTCAATTTTGATCAAGAGAGCCACTCACCGATTGATCTTAAATCCGACGTGTCAAAGTATTTTATTTTTAGTTTTTTTTTATAAAAATTATATGAACATTAAATTTGGTACGTGTCATCATTTCATTGAGGCCCACCTATATAAAATATTAAAAATAATTTTTCGATCGAGACATAAATGGAAGGTCCATAATGGAAGCCACCCGGCACACTCCAACCCACTGGATAGTGATAAAACTCTTACCGCATTTTCCTTCGCGTCATGTGTGTGAGTCCCTTTATTCAAATCTCTCGTACGAAAAGTGTGTGTGAATTGGCCGACTCATCTGTGTGTGCTCTCCCTCCTAAATATATTTTAAAGATGCCTTTTCAATGTCGGTTTCGATAATCTCAACCATAACAATAATCCAAATTTGGCGTTTTTCTTCTTCAAAAAAATTAAATATTATTTTTTCAATTCCTTTTTTTGCCATCTATTTTTAACTTTTATTAGATGTAATGTTTTTTGACATCCAATAATAGACAAGGGACCTAACAGTAATAGGTGTGTCGGCTGACTCACCAAAAACCATGTCCTTTATATAAGGAAAATTGTTTCATGCCAGCTGAACTGCATTTCTACAATATGCCGTCTCAAGGTAAAAAGCATCTATCTTAAAAATGGATGCAAATAGGCAGTCCATCTAAAAAACAATTGAAACTAATAGTCCAAGTGTTTTCTTCATAAAATCATTATTTTTATTTCTTAAAATTTATTTATTTATTTTATATTGATGATCTTCATGTTAGAGATTACATGTCCTTAAAAATTGGGTCTCAAAATCCATCTCAAAAATAGATTTTTAAGAGTCGACTCATTTCTACATGGACTCATAGAAACCGTGTCATTTATAAAAAAAAAAAACTAACAAAATATAGCTAAATTTAATGGCGTGCTCAATTCGAGGGGATTAAATACCATGGTGAATCATTTACCATGGTCCCCCGTAATCGATGGTCTAGGCCATTGTTGTATTTGAAGCACAGTTGGAAAAACCGAGCGATCTAACTGCTAACCTCTTGGTTAGATCGGAACTAGCCAATGGCCGTTTGTCGTTTTCGATGGTTTTGGTGATCAATCAGTGTATATATAAATATAAATTCTGAAAAATAAGCAATTTATTTTATTGTGTATTTTTTAATATTTTTTACATTATGGTAACGATTACAAATTGTTTTGGTCATTAGTATTCACTTTTATGGTTTCCCATCTTTTTTAGAAAAGTTTAAAAATACGCCTAGGCACAAATAAATTCATTATAATCTATTTGTTTAATTAATTTTCTACTTCATTTGAATGTGTTTTGTTTTAATCATTCTCTCTATGCTTTTTATATTTTAGTAGATTTTTTTTTGTATTTTTTTTTATTTTTTTCAATATTTTTTTTGGCCGCCCAGGACTTACCTGTTCAGAATGGTGAATCGGTCGGTTTACTGGTTAGGCCAATTAAACTCCTTTTGGGCTCATGTCTGGTTAGTTGTTCTGGCTTAATTTTACAAACAATCATTTAAAGTTATTTATTTATTATTTATTTATTTTATTATTATTATTATTATTATTATTATTATTATTATTATTATTATTATTATTATTATTATTATCATTATCATTATCATTATCATTATCATTATCATTATCATTATCATTATCATTATTATCATTATTATTATTTGAGTGCGTAAGTTATGTCTTGTAAAAATCATATTGTCCATTTTCAAATCATTATTATTTGAGTGCGCAAGTTACGTCTTGTAGAAATCATATTGTCCATTTTCAAACTTGGGCACAGCACTTGCTTGGGGGGACCATTTTAATAAAAAATTGGGAACAACCAAAAAAGTCACTAGCTGGTTATTTTTGAACAAAAAAAAAACAATTGAAATTTAAACTTTTTACAATTTAGATCTTACCCTCAAAAATATTGGACGCACTCGGCTCAATCTTGAGATATTATTGTTTTTAAATGCATAGAAAGTGCAATTCAAAATTTTCTTTTTTATGTTAGTTTTTTTTTTTCGGTGAGTTAATTGGGAGAGGGTCCGTACCTTTGGTAGGAATCTAGCCTAGGATGTAGCGTTGCAACCTTATATAAAATTTTTGAAATGTTGCATCCCAAAATTCGGTATCCTAAGATCGACCGATTTTTAAAAAATCGGCCGACTAACTCGAGATCGATCACTAGCCGATCCCGATCTAGCCCGATTCCAACGGTCGTGTATGCATGAAATTTTTTTTTTCAGTGTGCTAATCGGCCGATTAATCTGACTAATAGGCACCAATTGACTAATTAGTGCACTAATCGGTAATTTGTTCTAAAAATTGGCCGATAAGTGCACTATTACAAAGCAGGGTTTTCAAAGCTAACCTCATAACATTTTTTTTTATATACTTTTCCTTTTTTTATTCTTTTCCCTATTCTTCTATGGACACACGGTTTTTATGGCAGCCAGCCCGCATATTGCAAAAATGTGGGCTTGGCATTAAATATTTATTTAAATATAATGTGATCCTAATTTTTAGAAAATATATAATCTTTAACAAAGATGTCATGAATATGAATAAAATAATAATTTGAACACTAGAAATAATAATTATATTAAAAAAACATTTAGACGGTTAGTTACACTTGTTTTTAGATGGACTACCTATTTGTATCCATCTTTAAGATGGATGATTTATACCTTTAGGCCGCATATTGTAGAAATGCGGTCCAGCTCGCATGAAACAATTTTCTTTCTTCTATTTCTCTACTTGAAACTTTATATATTATTATAAATTTTTTATTTGCTAACTCTAAGGGCACATACACAACACATATATGAGAGAGAGAGATGGAAATTTATCAAAATTATCACAAAGAGACGAACAAGTTTTTATTTTACCTATATTTTTAATTGAAATCCAAAATACCCAAAAAACAAACATGGTTTTGAGTTGAAATACTATAATATTATATTATATGATATTATATATAATATATAATATTTATTTTATTAATGTAATTTATATTATATAGTATATATTGATTCCATATTATATATTATATATAATATATAATATTAATATATTTATTATATATTGATCACTGAAAAAGTACTGTTTCAAGTACCAAATCGTTTTCTTCGAAACCCAATTATGTTTACAGTATTTATTTTTTTGTTTTTTTATGTGACAATATAAAAAAAAATACATATAAATTTTAAATATTTTTTACAATTTTTTGGGATTTTGTTGGGAGTTTTTGAGTTTTTTGGGATTTTTTTACCAAAATGGCATTTTTCAAAAAAAAAATCGAGGCCTCTAATCTGCCGATCTACTCGGAATCAATCAGACTAATTGGATCGAACCAGGACTAATTAGTCGGCCCGATCTGTTGTTTTGAACACTGCTTAAGACTACTCTTACGTTATATTTTAGGGAAAATTATGCAAATATTCGTTATACTTTTTATTATTATAAAAATACCTGAAACTTTCCGTTATGACCTAGATGCCCGTTTTTCAATTCCATAACAATGTTTTTTTTTTTTTTAAAAGATGAAACCGCCCATTTTCGATTTTTGAAAAATTGATTTTTTTAAAAAAATTTTGGGTTTTCCAAAACATATTTGTTTTAAATTTCTGTTTTTGAAAAATTGAATTTTACTGCTTGTAACTCAACATGTTAAATAATAATAATTATAATAATAATAAAATCCATATTTTTTTATTACTAGTAATAAAATTGGAGTAATAGTAATACCTAATTTTATTACTATTTATCCAATAGTGTATTGGTAAGAGCATATGGTTTTCTTCAAGAGGTTTTGGTATCAAATTTTTGCCCATAAAAAATCCATTTTTATTGAAAAAATTAGATTGCGTGTGGTGGGATTTGAACCCTTTCCCTGATGTTTTTTTCTTTTTAATAAAATAAAAAATATATTTTTTATTGAAAAAAATAGATTGTGTGTGGTGGGATTTGAATCCTCGTTATGAAAGTGTAGAGGTATACATGATAACCGAAAAGCCACACCCATTTCATTATGGGGCTTTTTTTATTCTTTTTAATAAAATAAAAGCATTCATTTTTTGTTGAAACAAATTAGATTGCATATGGGGATGTGAAAGTGTAGAGGCATGGATGATAAAGAAAAAAATCAATTCAACCTCTAATTTAAATATTTGGGCATACATAATATTGATATTTAAACAATTTGGTTTTTAAAATTCGCTTTTCAAAAAGAATTTAATTAAAAAAAACTAATTTTTTTTTAAAACCAAAATTTTTAAATTAAAAAAAAATGTTATGAAGTTGAAAAAATGAATATCTGTGTAATAACGGAAAGTTTAAGGTATTTTTATAATAACGAATGAAAAGTATAACGGATATTTACATAATTTTTCCTATATTTTATATGAGGGAGTAGATAACTACAATGCTCCTACATGAGCACGAAATCTTTTGGCTTTTTTTTATTTAATATTAACTTGAAACTACAATTTCCCTTGAAACATGCACTTCTAGAAGGCTGAAATACAAATGAAAATAGTTTTTCTTTTATATCATGAAAATACCTTAGTCCAGCTGGTGCACTTGAATCAAACCTATTTAAATGAAGCTAACCTAAATAAATATTTTGAAAGCGAAAGTCTCGTTCTTTAATTATTTGTACACTACTTTTCCTGGTTAGAAAATCTCTCTCTCTCTAAACACATTGGATTTTCGTCTTAGATTATCTTACAAAAACACACAATTGAATCGTTGCAGCCGATTTAATGCATCCAAAGGGCACAATCGATGTGCTTGAAGAAAAATCACACCATCATTTGTACTTTCGAATTTTTCATTTATAATGATCCAAGACCATGCAAGTAGCAATTATGCATATCATCTAACCATACCCATCTGTGTATATATATCCATTCCCTCATTCTTTCTCAACTCACAACTCAACAATGGCCCGTTTTCTTACCGTTCTATTCTTTCTCTCTCTTCCTCTTCCCTCTCAATCTTATTCGAATATCACTCGAGGAACAACCCTTCTCTCTTTCTCCCCAAACAATTCATATTGGCCTTCTCCCTCTGGTGATTTTGCTTTTGGGTTTTACCCAATTGATGGAAATCAGTTCCTTATTGGAATCTGGTTCTATAAAATCCCTGAGAAGACCCTTGTTTGGGCTGCAAATAGAGATGAACCAGTGCAAATCGGCTCAAAAATTCAGTTCACAGATGATGGTAAGCTCCTCTTCATTGACTCACAGGGCCACCAATATTGGATCTACAATGGAACCACTGGTGCAACTTCGGCCTCCATGCTTGATACTGGTAATTTTGTTTTAGTAGACTCTCTCTCTGGAATTCTATGGCAAAGTTTCGATTACCCAACAGATACATTGCTACCCGGCCAAACCTTAGGCCAAGAAAAACCTCTGTATTCGAATCGTTTGTGGAGAGACTATTTGACTGGTCGATTCATGTTGGTCTTGCAATATGATGGAAACCTTGTTCTATACCCAAGGAGTCGTCGTGACATATTCCCGAACCCCGCTTACTTTGCGAGCCAAACTGATGGAGAAAGCCCACCAGTAAATTTAGTTTTCGATCGAACCGGATTTCTCTATCTGAAAAACTCTAACAATAAGATAGTTTACAGTGTTTCATCAAATGTCATAAACCCAGTCGAAGAGTATTATCAGAGGGCCACAATCGATAGTGATGGCTTTTTCCGACGATACTCTCGTCCCAAAAATGCAGAGAATGGAGAATCATGGACAGCTGTTTCGAAGGCCCCTAACGACAGAAACTCTTGTGGAATTCCTGGTATTTGTAGCCTCAATGGCTATTGTGTTCTTGATCAAGGTGGAAGGGCTCAATGCCTTTGCCCTCATAAGTTCTCTTTTGTAGACCCCAACTATACATTTGGTGGGTGCAAAAGAGATTTTATCATAAGTTGTGAGAATTACAAAGCCTCAAATTATTTACTAATTGAGTTGGAAAATGTTGATTGGCCTTTTGGGGATTATGAGTTGCTGCATTTGGGTGAAGATGACTGCAAGGAGGCTTGCATGAGTGATTGCTTTTGTGATGCTGCAATCTATAGAAGTAATCAGTGTTGGAAGAAGAGGATGCCATTGATGGATGGGGTGAAAGATGTGAGAATTGGAGGCAAGGCTCTAATCAAAGTTGCTAGCAGTGGTTGAGGAAGATAATGGAGGATTATATGATCTCTCTCCTGAATACTGGGAAAAAAGTAATGCATATCTCTCTCTAGACTGTTGAGAGAGAGTAATGGTGATGTGATTTCTATGCAAAAGAGGCTATAGTTACCATGGAGTAAAACATGTTTTAAATTGCTTGAAGGATATAGTGTTTGATGGTTTACATACATGGGTTCTATTGAGCTGTTCTTGTATGGATAGCCATTGTAAGAAAAAAAAAAAAATTTGAAGAAATGAAGGTTATAATTCTCCAAATTCATCCATGCAACTTTAGGATTTATAAAATTTTTTTTGGGGTTTAGTAAATAAAACTTCAAAAGCACTTAAGCAATGTTATGTTTTCTGAGTAATCATAATATATATCTTTTAACTTGAAACACTCCAACTCTTGATAATTTTTTAATAAAATTTCTATTGGCTTCCTACTCTTACCTGATAATTAGTTTCTTTGAATTGCTGTTTATGATAATTTAATAAATATTCGTAGTATGAATCCACAAATTAGTATTGTTGAAGGCTAGTTATACAATGTGGAGAATTCAAACAAAAATTTTGTTTTGTTCTCTTAAAAATATTCAAGAAAATTGCTGTAAAGTTAAAAAATCCAACTATTAATCCCACTGGAAAAACAAGTGAATGAAAGGGACACCTATTGATTCCATTGGAAAAAGAAGTGAATGAAAGGGCAAAAACAGAGGACTGATTGTTTTTCTTCATTAATTTTGTCTCTAAGTTTTCCCACTATAAAGTGTTGAACAGCTCATCAGAAAAGTCTGTATTGTCATGTGAGATATTTAGGAAAAGACGGCCGCCATGAGACAGATTCTCTTGAAATTTAAGTGGATTTTTTAGAGAGAAAGAACCGTTAAAATGAAGTTTGCAGTAATCTACATCTATCTATTTTATTTGATAAATATTAAATCCTTATTCAAATGGGTCCCCTAAACAAAAAAAAATCTAGAAGATCTATAGGATTGGAAGCATATGATATGTTAGATGCATTTTCTCTTTAGGCACCACAAAATTAGTGCTAATATGCTATGAATTAAAATGAATAGTGATGAAGTTCAAAAAAACAAAGTTCACAACAGGACATTTTATGTTTCAAAAGCAATAAAGTCTTTTTCATAAATCCCGGAACCAAGGGTCCATTGTGGTCCCATAGGACCATATTATATGCGCCACATTCAAATTTTCAACTTTGGCGTGCTGACTTTTCGTCGGATAAGGACGGGGTTGCATGTATGGTGCGCCAAACACTCGCCGGGATTTTTGGCACGAAAAGTTTCATTTAGATTTGTGTTTATTTTAATTTCAAAATAAAAGATATTTTAATCAAATATGTTGTATAGACACGCAGTGTACACGTATACATACGAGTGTCACAAATATAACCCCAAAAATGATGGATGAAGTTTCTATAGAGCCTAGGCTTCATGAAAACAAAATAAATCCTCACCTCAAATCTTCATCAAGAAAGCACTTTCGGTACCGAAAATCTACATTATTGCTCTAAAATCATTTTTCAACACCAATAATAAAATTTGAAACTTAACAAAGAGTACAGATCTTGTGTATTTGTAAACACTTATTTTTAGGGTGAAATGGATGGTCTAGATGACTTATTGAAATATGAGAAATGAACATATAAGACCATCCTCCACCCATGTGTGTAGGACTCCAAATGATCACCATTCAATTTGGCACGAATCTATAAAAAAGTCAAGTTCCACACCCATGTGATAACTTTTCTAGAGATCCGTAGCAACTTTAATGGTGATCTTTTAGGGTCCTACACACATGGGTGAAATAGAGTCCTATAGAATCATTACTCTTGAAATATATATAATTTTTAAAATTTGAAATCCTACTTTTTTTTTGCACAACTATGATGCTCAAGCTGAGATCGATTTAAACGTTTTTAATACTTGAATTGTAATTTTTAATGAGTTATGAGGTGAGGGTTTACTTATTTTGATAGGGCTACATTCCTACCAAACCATTTTCCAAAACTGATATCTAGAAACTCGTCTTAACAATACACAAGTATTAGCATAAATGCTTACACATATATATACATATATTAAAGAATGTTATTTGTATAAGGCCACCGCTCTAAACAATCAAAGTAGGGCGCGCTTTCAAATAGTGCCAAAATATATTGTTTTGATATCATAAATATTTACGTTGGCCTAAAAATTTATTTTTATCCCTAATTATAAAATTTAAAATTCAACAATAATGGCTTGAGCAGATCTATAAACACTTGAAAATCTTAAAAATTAAGAGTCTAGATAATGCATTACAATATGCAATATTTATAGGGTGCGGTTTGTATAGAACCTAGGCTCTAGACAATCAAATTAGAGCCTACCCTTCAGATAGTGTCGAGAAATATGGTTTCAATACTGGAAATCTTTTTGATAGCCTTAAAATATATTTTTATCTTTATTTATAAAGTTTAAAGCTTAAAAAATAGTGTATGAAAACTTGAAAATCTTGAAAATTGACGGTCCAAAAGTGCGTTACAAAATATACTATTTCCAAAACTTGAAATCCATTTTTTTCTCATGCCCATTTTTCTTGATGTCGAGATGATGAATTTGAGGATATTTGGGCATCAAAACAATCTCTTCTAGTGAAATTTTTGAGGTAAGCTCAAATTTGATTGTTTAAAGCCTCGGCTCTATATAAACTTTTCTCATATTTATAATACTAGAAATCGTTTTTTTTTTTTTACGTCCATGTATCTCAAGATCGAGATGATCAAATTTGAGGGTTTTTTGACATTGAAACAACTTCGTCTAGTGAGTTTTTAAGTTGCCCCTTAATTTGATTTTTTAGGGCCACAACCTTATATAAATGTTTTTCCTAAAGAAAATACTTGGTCTTTTACCGTGAGAGCTGAGGATTTCCAACATCTTAGAAAGATAAAATACTACATCTTTTACGTGGTGGAGTAAGTATACAGTGTGCATACACGCTATAAGCACGGGTTAATAGATAAAAAGCATACATTTGTGAATTTTTGTTTGGGGCAAGCTTTATATGCTTCCCTTACACCATAAAATTAATATATTTCCCCTTATCTAACGAGAGGGTTAAGATTGTCTCAATCACAATGTCACATCTCTACACTATTTTATTTTTAATTTTTTTCTATAAACTATATTAACACCAAATTTTGTATTTCCAACATCTATTAAATTCGTACTAACGAAAAATATAAAAAAACTACGTCCAATAAAATAAATGATCAAAATACCCCTGAAAGTTTTAAGGGGTATTTTGGTTATTTTATTTATCGAAAAATTATTTTAAATATTTTTTATAGGTGCATCCCAATGAGAAGATGACATGTACCAAATTTCATATTCATACAATTTGTATATAAAAATTAAAAATCAAATACTTTGAGACGTTGGATCTAAGATCAAACGGTGAGTGGCTCTTTTGATCAAAATTGGTCGGCTAGACAGTAGGGGAAGCATATATCTTCTATGTTGTAAGGGAAGTATATCAACCTTTCCCTTTTGTAAGAGGAAGCAAACTATGATCCTTGACTTGCTACTTCCAACTCTTGATAAGAATTTCAAGTCGTGTTACCTGGAGAGACTTATTGTTGGATTTATTGGTATCCAAAATCACCCATATTCCCATATTAGGTGGGATTGAGATATTTTCATATTTTGCGGGATTGAGATTGATATTGATAAGTTTCCTAATAGAAATAGAAATCCAAAAAAGTTAGGACTTTTAAATTTATCTCTTGCTCCTTTGGGAAATATATTATATCAATAGGAAGTTTTCTATTTTATGTGGATTCCTAATTATATATATGAGATAAAAGTGGATTGAATTCGTGTGCCCAATTTGGGTTACTATATGAGAATGGAGAGAGGGAGGTAGAGCTGCGATTTTCTCTTAGAGAAGAGAGCTTCTTTTGGACAGAAGATTGTGATGGTGCCTCTGGTCTCCCGAAGATTGAGAGGCTTCTTTTTTATTGTGATGGTGTCTCTAGACTCCCAAAGATTGAAAGGCTTGTTTCTTGTAGAAAAGCGGTTCCCATTGATATTTTGGGTGATTTATTTTAAGAAGATAAAGTATCATTTGCTATCAAAGTTGTTTTTTTAGATGTGAGTCTAGTTGGTCTAGTTATGGAATAGAGATGATATATCGGTAGTGGTTCCTCTAATTATGGAATAGAGATGGGAGATTAACAGTGGTAGGTCTAGTTATGGAATAGAAATGAGAGATCGGCAGTGGTGCCGTTTGGGGGAGCAGGTTTAAAAGGGTTTGCTCGACTTAGGGTTTTTTTATCGATGCTTGTTCCAAAATCTTTGATGTAACTTTCATTAAACTAATGAATTTTTGTTTGCAGTGCCCATGAATGTAGTCTTTTTGGGTGAACCACATAAATATTTGTATGTGTTTCATGATTTATTTCTCATACTTTATTTGCCAATTATTAACCTATTCGGGATTAATCATACTTTATTTGCCAATTATTAACCTATTCGGGTTTATTGCTTCCACGCGTACAACACTTGTGGCCCTCAGCTCTTAGCACTTGAATTTGGTCCCATGAGAAATAGGTTTTAAAATCAGTATCAGATGTATGTAGTTGTATACTAGATTATGTGTTCTCACCCTCCTCTTCTCTCTCTCTCTTCCCCTTCATTGGCTTTACCATGTAGTTTCCCAATTAAACACGAACATCACTCTAGGGACCACCCTTTCCTCTTTCTCTGCAGATGATTCATATTGGACTTCTCGTTCATTTTGCATTTGGGTTTTATTCAATTGGTGGCAACCAATTCCTAGTTGGAACTTGGTTCCATAAGATATCAGAGCAGCAAACAGAGATCAACCAGTTGGACAAGGCTCCACCATTCAATTGACACTTGATGGGTGGCTAGGCTTCACAGATTCAGAGGGCCTACAAACATGGATATACAATGAAACCAATGGTGTAAACTCAGGAGCCATGCTTGATACTGGTAATTTCATATTGGTAGACTCTGTATCCTCTATTTTATGGCAAAGTTTTGACGACCCCATTGATACTTTATTACCAGGCCAAACATTTGGCGAAGAAAAATACTTGTATTCAAATCTCTTGGAGGGAGATTACAGAACTGATAGATTCATGTTAGTCATGCAAAATGATGGAAATCTTGTGCTCCACCCGCAAGGTCGGAGGGGTCTAGATCCTAATGGAGCGTATTATGCGACCAGTACAAATGGAGCATCATCGCCGGTTCATTTGGTGTTCGATCACTCAGGGAGTTCTTCATCTCACAAACTGAAGCGATCAGGTAATCGCTAATGTTTCTTCAAATGCACTAAACTCACCTGAGAAATTCTATCAAAGGGCCACAACTGATAGTGATGATTTTTTCCGGCGATATTCTCGCCCAAGAAATTCAAACAATGGAGAATCATGGACCGTTGTATCAAGGAGTCCAGATGACAAAGATGCTTGTGGAGTACCTGGTGCTTGTGTGTAAAATGACTATTGTATCATGGATCAAGGCAAGCCTGGGTGCCATTGCCCACAAAAACTTTCTTTTATCGATCCTAATTACCCTTTTGATGGCTGTAAACAGGATTTCAATACAGGATGTCTTGATTATAAAGCATCGGACTATACTTTTGCCGAGTAATTGAATGTTGATTGGCGTACAGGGTCTTATGAAAGGCACTATGTCGACAAAGATAATTGTAAGATGCTTTGCATGAATGATTGTTTGTGTGACGTTGCCATCGCTCGAAACATCGAGTGTTAGAAGTAGAGGGTGACATTGTATGAAGGACAAAGGGATAATAGCATGGGGGAAAGGCTCTTGTCAAAGTTCCAGTGAAGATCAAGGTGATCGAAAGAATCGAGAGAATGGTGAGAGAGGATGGAACCAAAACCTTGGACCGAATGTGTTGGTTTCTCATAAGCTTCACTGCATTTCTTTTCTTACTCTCCATGGCCGCTGTTGCTTTTACTCTTAAGAAAAGAATGATCTGTTTCTCTGCCAGAAATGCAGCGACTGTAGAGACCAACCTTGTATCATTCAGATATGCACAGTTGCAGCGTTCAAGGAGCTTCTAGGGCACGGCGCATTTGGAAGAGTCTACGAGGGCATCATGCATATAGGGCGTGAGGTCCGAATCGCGGTTAAGAAATTGGACGAGCTCGTGGAGAGAAGGGAGAAGGTGTTTCGTACTGAACTAAGTGCAATCGGTCGAACATGTCACAAGAACCTAGTTCGTTTATTAGGTTTTTGTGATGATGGCGATCAGAGGCTTCTCGTCTACGATTTCAGGCCAAATGGGTATCTTGCAAGCTTCCCGTTTGGCACAACCAAACCTAGTTGGGGAGAAAGGATCCAATTACCATATGGGATAGCGATAGGGATCATGTATCTACATGAAGATTGTGAAATTGTGATATACATCCCCAAAATGTACTTCTTGATCAGTTTCCCTCCCCAAAGATTGCAGGCTTCGGACTGGCAGAGCTCTTACATCACAACCAAACCCATACAAACATGTACATTAGAGGGACAAACGGATACATGGCACCGGAGTGGTGTCCAAATGGTACAATCTCTACGAAGGTGGATTTTTTTGGTTTTGAGATCATGTTGCTCGAGATCATATGTTGTAGGAGGAGGGTTGATTTCCATCAACACCACTAGAGACTAGTGATCTTATCAGATTGGGTTTCTGATTGCTTCCATGAAAGAAAGGTGCATATGCATGAAAGAAAGGTACATATGCTGGTAGAGGGAGATGAAGAAGCATTAATGGATTTAGATCCAGTTGAAAGGATGGTTAAGGTGGGATTGTGGTGTATCCAAGAAGACCCATCCATTACCTCCCATGAAGCAGGTGGTTCAGATGCTGGAAGGGACCATAGAAGTTATGGCAACACCCATTTCCTCTACCACATAGTCTTGATTTTTGAGCTCATCTGTTAGTCTTGATTTTTAAGCTCATCTGTTACTCAAAGCTCTTAATTGAAATTTCACAATTATTTTACTTTTTTCCTGTTTTTTCTTGCATGACTTCTAGCAGCACATGGCCTTGGGTTGTAGCTTTTAACTGTAAAACTATCCTCTGTTTTTCTTGTAATGTGTTTAAGCAATAAAGAGAAATTAAATTTTGGTAATGTGTGTTGTACACAAGGTTAAAATTGGCATATGGCTTAGGAATCACTCAAGTCGGCTTGGACGTGGGTGATTGGACCACTTGTCATTGGACTCCGGCAAGTTGGCTTAGTAACCCCAATCTTAAACAATCCAATTAAAGCGCACCTCCAAATTTTATCTCAACATGTTAATTTTGGTAAAAAAATTCTTAGGATTATCTCAAAATCTATTTTCATATCTAATTATAAACTTTCAAACTCCAAAAATGACTAAAATCAAGTAGATCTATAAACATATGAAAATCTTGAAAATGAACGGTCTAGATAATGTATTGCAAGATACACTATTTTTTTAAAACTCAAAATCTTTTTTTTTTCTTTTTTTCATATTCATAAATCTCGATGTCGAGATGATCAATTAGAGCTTTTTTCAATATTAAAAAAATCTTTTATGATGGATTTTTTATGTGCATATGTAATTCTACATTTTAAAGTTGTAACATGATATAAACTTTTTCCTTATTTATTTACCTCTCTTATGGATACATACACGAGAACTTAGGTGTGGCTTTAATAGGCGATAAGATGAATTATTTATTTATCCTATCTTATAAACACATTCAGGTGAACTTAGGTGTAATTTCAATAGGGTGATAAGATGAGAGAAAGTAGACATAGGTAAGCTGACTATGTACAGCGCAAACCCAATACAATACCTATTAGGAGCTGCTAGTTAGTACTACTAGAAAGCTACTAAAAGATATGGGATAGGTCCAAAAGAATATGGTTGGTATGGTTGGAAAGGGTCTCATTGAGTATATGGCCCTTTATAAAGAATTTCAATATGAATCAATCCATTTTAGATCCAAAACAAGTGCCAATTGATAAAATTTTGATTGTGGTGAGGGTTTTGGATCAAAATATCGTATTTTATGAAACCTAAAAAACTCGTTTCACTCGTCTTTGATTTTCTCCGTCGGGTTTCAACGAAACAATTTGAAATTTGTTTTAACTTTCTTATATTGGAGGCCTCTCATGATGTCCTATGCAAATTTTCTTGATTAAATCAAATATTTGAAAAAGAAAAGAAAATAAGTTTTTTTTGTCATCTAACTTGCCATATTTGAATTCTTCTTATATTTAGTATTGATATATACCTTCTATTAGATGAAATCAAATATTTGATTTTGATTCTTTGATTTTTATTTTTCTTTATGTTATTCCATTTTGCTTATTTTCTCCTTTTTCATTTTTATATCTGGTTTTTAAATAAATGTAAGATTTTGATTTTTGGTGCTCTTTGTTTGCATGTATGGATGTAACGCATGTGTTGGCAACTATTATTCCACATTTTTAGTTTTTTATTGTCTTGATTGTGTGCTCCTCATTCCTTATGGGTTTATCCTTGGAAGTAGATTCGCGGGCGTAACATGAAGATATGCAATGTGAGAAAGAAGAATAACAAAATATTAAGGAGAAAGTTGATGCTATTTATTTGAAGAAGGATAAAAAATCTTCAGCATATTTAAAGGAAAGGGAAATTACATTTAAAAGTGATGGCTGGAAATTTTGATTACTGATTATAAGAAACTTGAAAAATGGGAATAGAGATAATTTTTTTTTTTTAGTCAAGAAAGCCTAATTATATTTCAAATATTTAAAAATTGTAATAAAATTTTATTATATTATTTAATTTTTATAAGGTATACTTAAAAGTATATGTACTGCAATTTAATTAGGGATTTTCATGAAAAAAAACATTACTAGATTCTGTTTTTAAGACATTGCACTTCTTCAAAAGTTAATTTTGACTTTGACACTCTTTATTTTTGTAGAGGAGCAAATGGACTATTTTTTTCTCTTTTTTAAAACAAATTCGTAGTCTTATTTTTTATCTTGCATGATCTTTTGGCATGGGTTTTTCGCACCCCTTAGTTTATCTCTCTAAAGCGTTTTCTCTCATATTCTCCCTCTAAAAACCCAACTTATTATTTTATCTTCTCACATTCTCTCTTTAAACACATAATATGTTCTTTTCTATAATCGTATTCTCTCTCTAGAAACCCAACCAAAAAATTTTTACCTCTCATATTATAATATTTTTTAGTACATGATCTTGGGTGCGATCTCGATATTTGAAATTCCCGATTCCACAAGCTAAAAGATTCTCGAAATCTCACACAATAACATTCTTTACTTAAAAACTCACCCTTATTATTATCTCCTCTCACATTATTTAAAGACAGAATGTGAGAGAAAGAAAGAATGTGATGTGTTTTCAAATAAGGATATGAAAGGAGGGAAGACAATATGGGAAAAAAATCATGGAAGAGAAGCTTTAACAATTTGTTTTTATATGAGGGATAAATCGGTCTATTTACCTCTCTATTGGAAGGGCAAAAGTCAAACAAAAAGCTCATAGATCTCATTTATGAAAAGAAAATTCTTGTAAGGCTTTTCTCTTAAAAAGTCCATTTAATTAGTGTAATATGTATGACTATTATCATTATAGTGTTACAATAATTACTGATTGTAATATTCATAATCGTCATATAAACTATTATTATTATTTATATTAATATGATCATAGTATATGGAGTGTAAATTTAGTAATTATAGGAGTAAAGACGAGAAAATAATTAAGATTGACAGTTAGGAAATACAAAAAAAACGGCACTTTCTATATATTAGGTCGATAATCCAAGAAAATGGAGAGATCGAAGAAGATGTCGTACACATAATTAGAGCTACGTGCGAGAAGTGAAGATGTGCAACTGGAATTTTATGTGATCGCTACATACGAATGAGGCTGAAGGGTAAGTTCTATAGGACAACAGTGACACTCACTTTACTCTATAGAGCGAAATATTGGGCAGACAAAAAACAACAGGGAAATGTTTCTATATTTCTCCTACAACATAGAAGATCTATGCTTCTCCTACTATCCAGCCGTCCAATTTTGATCAAAAGAGCGACTCACTGTTTGCTATTAGATCCGACGTCTCAAAGTATTCTTGTTAGTTATTTTTATACAAATTGTATGAATACGAAATTTGTTACATTCCATCTTTTCATTGAGTCGCGCCTATAAAAACTATTTAAAATGATTCTTTGATAAAATATAATGACCAAAATATCTCTTGAAAATTGTAAGGGTATTTTGATCATTTCATTTTATTGGAAATATATTTTTATATTTTTTGCTAGTGCGAGTTAAATAGAGGATTAGACATCCAAACTTTGGTGTCAAAATAACTTATAGAAAAAAATTTAAAATAAAATAGTGTAGAGATGTGACATTGTGATTGGGGCAATCTTAGCCTTCCGATCAGAATGGACGGTTGGATAAGGGGAAGTATATAAGTTTTATATTGTAGGGGAAGCATAGAAAGCTTGTACAAAACAATATACCCATAGAATGAGTATAGTGTAGATGATGATGTTGAGTAGCACGACAAGAAGGAATAGAATTCACAATAAATATATTCGAGAGAATTTAGGCGTGGCACTAATAGGCGATAAAATGAGAGAGAGTAGACTTAGATGAGCTGATCATGTGTGGCGTCGACCAAGTACATTACCTGTTAAGATGTGCGAATTAGTTCAAGTAGAAAGACAAACAAGGGTAAGAGGTAGGTCCAAAAGGACGTAGTTGGAAGTAGTCCCAAAAGATATGGGGATTTATGACCTCATTGAGGATATGACCCTTAATAGAGTATAATGGAGAACGATTCATATAACCGAGCCCAATTAATTGAAAAAAAAGTAAATGATGATGATGATGATATTAATATGTCATAATATGACGTTATATTATTATGAGGGCAATAATTGTCACCAAAAAAACTTGGACAAATTGAGAACTCATAATAATAATTTGAAAGTTGCCAATAAAAAAAATTTAAATCACAAAAGATATAATGGAAACCACTTCTTATTATTATATAATAATTTATTATTAATAATAAAATATTATTGTTATTTTATTATTATAAAAAGGAGATAATTACCATATTGTAACAATAAGTATGATTAATATAGTAAACTACCATATTGTAATAATATGTATGATTAATGTAATAATATTATTTAAATCATAAAAAAGATATAATAATTATAATATAAACAAAAATTTTAAGCAATATAATGAAAACCACTTATTATTATTATTATTATTATTATATTATAATTTATTATTAGTAATAAAATATTTTTATTTTTATTATTATGAAAAGGAGATAATTACCATATTGTAACACTAAGTATGATTAATGTATTAATATTATTTAAATCATAAAAATTATGTAATAATTAGAATTTTTATATTATTCATTAATAATTAATATTCTAACAATATTGATTGTTTACCCTACAAGGCAAGAAAGCGCAGAGCTTCTTCAGCTTGCATGCAGCCTAGGGTTTGCCGCATGCAGCCAACTCCAAGCTGCATGAGAGCTAGGCCAAGCCTCTTGCTTAGGACTGGAGAATCCGAGTTTTCAATTTACTTGAAGTTTGGAAAACCTCTATTTCTTGTATAGTTGTACCCGGTTATAGCTCTATAGCAATCCACACTCTACCGAAAACATGAACACATTAAAAAGATAAGCCACTACTTAGTGGTCACTACAAAAACTTTGGTTTGCAAATCATCATTGCAGTCCAGGCATAAGTTTTCTTCCAGTATTGAGGATTATCCTATAACGTAGGAGATTAGTCTCAAGTTTTCCAAAAGCCAAATGTGATGATATTTTTGTGCTAAAGATTCACTATTTAATATTTTACTCGTACGTTTTCCTTTGATATAAAGATACCCATCAAAATACACATGAAGATGGGTTGGAATAATTGAAGAAGTGTAAATTGTTAAATTATTGAAATGTTAAGTGCATATTGGAAAAAGTTTATATAGAGCCAAGGCTTTAAACAATCAAATTAGAGCCTACCTACAAATTT